TTCATTATTGTTTTGTTGTATGACGGTTTCACAACTTCCTTAGGAAAGGTAACAAAAAATAATATTAATAAAGCTTTCATCGATTCAGAAATATGTCGAACTCAAAGAAAAGAAAGCGTCCAAAATCCCACTCACAACAAAGACATAAAAGGCTACGGTCCACTTGATGCTGTGAATTCTTCGAAGCATTTTTTGATTGATCAGTTAATAAAATTCTTTCTTCCGATTGGTCAATCAAAAGTTTCGAAGCATTTGTAACGTCAAATGAATCGCACCCAAAGAAGTCGTCGATCTGGGGCTCTATTCTTGAAAAGAAACGTAACAAAAAACTAGGAAAATACTATAGTATACATAACGTATACTCTAATATTTCGCTAGATTTTCGTATACGTTTCTTTTCAAGAATAGACCCCTGATCGATAATTGCAGGATATGAATGTTTCTGTAAATTTCGCTTCTTTTAATTTTGAGCTATAAAGATTACGTTTGAATGGCTGCGTTCAGCAGACTCAACAGTTTTGCAACCGTTTTATGATTGTCTGCTGAGATAGGACCATTCTTCTAGATCTAAAAGTATGATCCAATTAGCGCGAAGGAAATTTACAACAGTTGCAAAACAAACGTTCTGCTGAACGCACCCAATGTTGCGTTATTCTGGGTGTTCTAAATTTACTGTCAGCACTGAAAATGCGACAGTTTACGTTACGTGCACTATAGATTTTCAGTCCAGACAGGCAGTCAATTTTGGAACATAGTCTTCTATAGTAAGTTGGCGACCTTGCTCTGTACTAGTATTAATGTAATCTGCGTCAGCTGCGTAACTTAAAGCTCTAAATTACTAAAGTAGCGCATTAGTCTGCCATATTGGACCTACTAACCTTATCATATATCAATAATACTAACCAATACTAAACGCTTATTGGACTACAGACAATTAGGGCCACAATGGCGGTCGCAATATAGTTGTCGGTATTTCGGCTCAGATCAAAGAAATGCGCTACTTTGGTATATCTAGAGCTTTAGCATGACTACATTAATACTGTTCCTGCCGAGCGGCCATTGTGAGAGTTCTCTCTCTCGATTTGCGAAGTGTGCAACAAGCATTGCAACAGCAATTGCACGCGAATAAATATCCTGTTTATCAATCTGCATAAATAAGGAATTTGCATAAACAATGCAAGAACAGATTTAACCTAACAACTACGGTTAGCTACATTGCTTTAAATTAAGAAGCGCCATAACGGTCAGAACGTTAAGATGTTGAACTATTGTAAATTCATTTAAATGAATTAATTTCAGAAATTATAATTGCGTGCCGATATGGTTGTCGGACTTTCAACGCAATCAAATCTGAAAATATTAATAATCCCCCCAAATTTCCCAACTTAAAAACTGTAATAAACTTTGTCATTAAATGTTTCATCTCATTCAAAAACTAATGAAGCCAACCTTCACGGTAAATCGAAAGAGAAGAAATACTACTCACCAGTTCCACACGAACGTTGAGTTGTCAAATCCACACAATTTTGTTGTTGAGGGAATAGTTCAATAGGAACAAGATTCTTAAGTGTTGGGATATATAATTTAAACCGAGTTTGTTTTGGGGTTTTTTAGACAGTTGTCCAAAATTTTTAATTGTATCCGGTGTCATTCGGTTATTTTAAGAGAGCGCGTGCGTAAACAGCAGAATGGTATTATCGCGATCTGCAACCGCTTGATCGTCTCTTTTTCCGGCGGACATGGTAAGCTCACCATCGCGATACAATTAAACTGTAAAAATCCGCGAGATAGCATGATATTTTGTGATACAAGCGGCGTTAAGGTAATCTGTACGAATGAATAAAGACGTGTGATATCAGATATATGTATTCCCTGTGAACTTTGAAGTACTTAAAACTGTTTCTTGTGTACGTGATACTTGCGTTGACTATAGATAGCAATTTCAGCAGTATATTGTTAATTTGCAGAATTAAATTTCTTTTATATATTCTTTTTTATTATATTCGTTTTCTATTATATATTCCAACTGTTGAATATTCTTTAAGGTTTGACATTCGACTTGATAACAGTGTGAATTAATAAATAAGTTTCGATAACCAAATCTGGAATTTAGTTATTTTTAACATTATCCACATTCCCTCGTCTGTCTCTTTGTTTTTAGTATCCACTGAGTCCGGATCTACAATAGGTGTTTTAAGACTTAAGCCGTAAGAAATTGACCAATTACGGTCGAATCCGAGGGGAATAATCGACTGTGATTCGCCCAATTTTTATGGCTTAAGGCTTAAAGCCCTATTGTAGATTCGGGGTAAAGAGAAATAATACTCAACAACTCTGCACAAGCGTTGAGCGGTCAATATCCACACGATTCTGATCTTCGAATATCTGAATACGTTCAACAAGAACGATACATTCACAAACAGCACAATAAGTGCACGCAATTTCAACTCAAACGACACAATAAGTGTACACGATGTCTTCGAGCATCTTGTGAATACGTTCAACAAGAATATATACAGGGTGTTTCCAAATTAAATGGCAAAACTTCGGGAGCGTGTAGAGGAGTAAAAAACTAAGAAAAAAAGTCCTATAGACATATGCTCCTTTTTGCTTTGTTTCGCAGGAAATCACGAAAAAAGAAAAAAATATATTTAATTTATTATTTTAATTATTTTATTTATAAACTTTTTAATGAAAATTTTGTTCGAAATGTGCACAG